TTTTTCTCCGGTACCGGGAACCGAACTCACGACCTTGCGCTTGCCAGGCAGGCGCTTTGCCGGTGAGCTAAATCCCCAGCCCCTCTATTCTATTTCTTTTGATGGTTTCCCTGCCAATGTTTCAAATGCATTAACACTCAATATTAATTCACCCAGCAGGTGAGACTGAAGTACACTTTGTACTCCATAACCCTTCCCTTGTAAGATTGCAAATGATTGCTAAATCAGAGCTGAGTGAGCTGCAACTGGATGTGGCACTTAATGATTTTCTTAGTCGAGATTTAATGTTTCTGTGCATGTTAATACCCTCTTCTCTTCTCGTATACAAGCACTCAGAGCCAGCCCTTTCTCTGTTCTCTCTTGAAGACCTGCTGTTCTTTCTCATTTTTCAAGTGCTTCATGAACACATAAAGAGACTTGACATTGTCATTTAGAGACTGTTTTGTGCTTTAGATCCACTGATTGTGCTCTGCGTCATTTGCCTCAGCCCTTTGCATTTGAAAGACAACCAGATAAAAAGGAGTGCCTCCCTCCAAGCACAGAACCAGTCTAAGGAGAGTGAAAGCTAGCAAACATGTACTAAAAACAGAAGAGTAAAAGCTGTCTGGCTCAAGCTTGCCACCCAAAGGTCTGAAACAAACACCTTGCAAACAGAAAACAAACTGAAAGCAACATTAAAAAAACTCACGTTGCCTACTGATAATGCTAGCTGGAGAGGAGTGAGTGAAGACAGCATATGAATTTTAATCTCTCTGAAGCCAAGAAGGTCATCTTATGCTTGTCATCCACGTGGTGACTGGTTTCATCAGTGTTGTACACTGTCACAGGGAACAAAAATGAAAAAAGAAGTTTCTGAATCATTTCGTAAAAGAAAGTTACACTGCTAAGAAATACTGAATGAGAGCAAAGAGCAAAGCTTAAAAGGGATTCCTTGCATAGCTATTTGTCCATCTGTCTGTGCCTAAGAAATGCTTGTGTGTAATGTAAAAATAATGAGGCTTTGCAAACACATCTTGAAAGGCATATTTGTGTTAGAGTTTAGGCTTAACTCTTACCTTATTTAACTTAAATAAGATATGTTAAAGTGCTTTGCAAGCTGTAAAGTGGTATCCAAATATGAAATGTTGTAAACAATGAATATACATTAAGTACTTATGGTCTATATCAATAAAATAATTACACTGGTAAGGAACAGGAAGAATTAAATGGATTTGTCATACAACTACAGAAAAACTAAAATTAAAGAAACTAAGTAAACTGAAAACTAAAGAAAATGATTAATATAAAAATTGAGGAGTAGGAGGTAGAATAAGATGGAGATTGAGGAAGACCCTCAATTCATGGCATCCCTCCAGACACTTTGATTTTTACAGTTATTCATGTACCAACTAGTTTCACATGTGCTAAGGAAGTCACAGAAGAAGGCACAATACCTAGTTTTAGTACAATAATAAGAATATATGAGCCAGGCATGGTGGCCCATGACTATAATATCAACATCCTGGGAGGCCAAGGCAAGAAGATCTAGTTTGAGCCCAGTCTGGGCAACTTAATGGTTTAGAGAGAATCTGTCTCAAAATAAAAATATAAAAAAGAGCTAGAGACCTAGCTTAGTGTGAAGATCCTGAGTTCAATCACTCTGTAAAGAGAAAAGGAAAGAAAAGAAAAAAGAGAGACAGAGAGACAGATAGACAGACAGACAGACAGACAGACAGAGACAGACAGAGATAGATTCATGGAGAGAGACAGAGAGAGAAAGAGAATGAGAACAGAACAGGACAGGACAGGAGTGAAGAGAGGAATGGAGGAAGGGAGGATGTCTTTTAGTTACTTTTCTCTCATTGCTGAGACAAAACACCTGACAGTTACTATTAAGGACTGAAAGGTTTATTTAGCTTACAGTTTGTGGAGGTTTCTGTCCGTATTTGGCTGGCTCCAAGGCAGAGTGGCACATGGCAGAGGGCAACAGTTCTTGGTGGAAGACAGCAAAGCAGCAAAAGCAAAAGGGAGAAGCAGCAGCAAGCAGCCTCTTTTCCTCCCTTACACTGTATGCAAACTACCTGCCCCAGGGCGGGTGCAGCACTCACACCCACGAATCAATCCTAGACTCTGAAAGCTGGTGCTGTGACTGCATGAGGCTTTGGGGGAACATTCAGACACAAACCATAGCAAAGGGAAAGATGAACAAAATAACCATTGAAGAGGAAGTCAGGAATAAAAGAGCTGCTCGTATCACCCTTCCTCTTACTCTAAACAGCACCCTCCACTTAGGAAGAGGGAAGGAATTAAGTACAGGCTTTAAATTTGAAACCAGTACCAAGGCCACTGTGATAGAACCCTATTCCAGACAGAGTCCCACAGTCTCTTTCCCTAGGCCAGTAATAGTGAACTGAATCAATAGAAGTACATTAGCTAAGCAGCTGACTTCTTCCAACACCTTCACTAAACCTCAGAGGCAGCAGAGTGGGAAGCAAGGCTACACCTACAGGGGAGCAGAGCACAAAATTAAGCATGAGATTTCGCCTTGGTGCTCAGTGCTAGACCACAATGAAGAGACTCCACACCGGGCAGAAAACAAAAGGTTTTCACCCTTTTATGCAGGCCAGACAGAGCCTTTGGATCAGTCCCAACATCCATCAGGGTCCCTTAGCCTAGTGGGACAAACTCAAGCTTTAACTTGCATCATTGCCAACTGTAGAGTAGCCCTGGAGCATAGTCCCCCAAGACTGTGTAGAACCCTATTGCTGTGAGACTCAAGTGTAAGCCCCGCTAGTGTTTATCTTGATGATCAGGGAACTGCCTCTAACCTCCTCAGGCAGCGTGGCTATCCTCAAGCCAGAGCTGTCTTAGCACCAGGTGGCAATTTTCAGCCCAGTAAGACAAATTCCTGCTTCAGTCTACATCACTGCCAGCTAGAGTTGGGGCCTAGTGTAACCTTCTGACTGTGCAGATCTTTGTGGTTGGAAACTCAGACACAATCCATCTTCGCATCAGCCTTGGTGATCAAGGGACCATCTCCACCAACGCTAGCCCAATTTCCAGCAGTACTGGGAAGAGCAGGATGTCAGAGACTCAGGGGAAGGCAGAATAATAGACATCAATCTTGGCCTTGGAATTCAGTACTGGGCTGTTGAAAACTAACATTGGGAAAATCTTAATGAGCCCTAATCCAGGTCCGTGCCCAGAGATGTAGCCTCTGGAAGAGCCCCGCTGTCAGATGGAGACATGTGGGTCCAGTCTGTTGGAATTCTTTCTGAGCAGCATTACTTACGGCTGGTGGTACCCATGTTAGGTCACAAGTTTACCTCAGCAGTAGGTAGACCACAGAACGGTGGGAGCTGGTGGCATCTCAGTGCTATACAAAATGACTGTACTGGTGAATTCCACTGAACAGTTAAAGAACTGATGACAAGTCTTAAATTATTCCAAAAAAGCTGAGAGAAAGAAGTTGTTCCAAATTCATCAGATTCATTCTCCAAGCTAAGTCTTACCTGAATACCAACCCAAAAAGGGTGCACTCACATGAGTGCATGCACACACATACACACACACACACACACACACACACACACACACAACCTTCAGGCATATAATCTTAATAAGCATAGATGCAAAAAAAGTGCTATCAAACTGAATTCAATAGCATTCAATAGCACTCAACAAAGTGCTATCAAACTGAATTCAATAGCGTATGGAACAGATCATTTACTATTATCAGTTAGAATATATATTAGGGATAAAAGTATGATTCAACATACACAAATCAATAAACATGACATACCACCTCAACACAATGAAGAACAAACCCATGTTCTCCTTTTAATAGATAGAGAAAGGGCATTTGATAAAATTCAACATCCTTTCATGATGAAAAACAATCTGAGCAAGGCTTCCGCTGTCATGGTCCTGTGTCCTGAACATATTGCAAGAGTCCCCCAGCTCCCTAGACTGCTTGCTGGGACTTCTAGTGGCCGCAGGCTGCATGGGAAGGAGTCTGAGAGATCAGGAAGCCACGCGATGAGGTCGTTTAGAGACACAGGAAAGCCAGCCTGTGCGCGTGCGGGTGCATACACTCCTTTGGAAGGCAGAGTAATCAGCAAGACCAGTACCTTGGACGTGTCTGAAGCAGCAGCGAGGAGTCAGCAATCGGGCTGCGGAGAACTCCACCAACAGAAGACCAGCCCCAGCCCCTACAGCCAGGGGCCAAGATCAGCTCCACACCCAGCACAATTCCCATGGCAAACTTGGCTGGAGTACTCAGCACATTTCTGGATCTGATAAGGATGCTATCACAGAACTGGTTACTTTTATTCCCCCTTGTTTGTCTGACTGGCTATCCTTGCTGGTCTGGTTGGAAGTCATCTTGTTCTGTTTTGTATTTTGTGGTTATTTTTTTCTCTCTCCTCTCTTCCTCTGGTCTACTTTTTCTCTTTCATTTCTTCTTTTTTCCATTCTCCTTTTTCTTCCTTCTTCTTTTCACTGTTTAGGTTTTTTACCTTTGTTTTTTGTTTTCTTCTATTGATCCTCTTTTTTTCTTTCCTCAACTACATTCTGAATTTAAACTTTCAAGTAAGTAAACATTGTCTCTTCCCTTTCTGATTACTCCTTCACATTCTATTTCATTCTTTCCCTCCTATGTCCTTCAGTTTCCCAAAATTCAGGTGATCATCATTTGACCTCCAACCTTGACTCTACTACACATGGCCTCTTTTATCACTTTCTCCTGTCTCTACCCATCTTAAACCTGACAACAGCCACAGAAGGATAAATCACTCCACTAAGGGGAAAATCACTGCATACAAGTACATGGCATATGTTTGATTTTGTTACATAACTTTAGAATTTGCTCCTGTGCTTGGAGGTAGCAGGTTAATAGTTACCATAGTTTGTTAGTAGTTAAGCTGTACTTGAAACTATTGTTATAGTAACCATACTACTTTAGCCAGGATGTCATACATCCCCCTATCTCCATAACTTACAAAAATCAGCTCAAGATGGACTAAGGACTTGAACATAAGATCTAAAACTCTGAACTTACTAGAAAAAAAATGCAAAGAAACACTGCGGGACACTGGAATGAGCATGGATTTTTTTGGACCAGACCCTCAAAAACACAGAAAGCAAAATTAAAAAAGCATACAAATGGGGTTTCACCAAATTAAAAAATTTCTACACAGCAAAGCCATCAATAAAGGGAAGAATTCTCCTCAAGAATGGGAGAAAATATTTTCCAACTATACATATGTCATGGATTCAATTTCCAGAATATATAAGATTGTCAAAAACTCAATAATAAAAGAAAAAAACAGATTTCAAAATCAGCTAAAGAATGACATAGATACTTCTTGAAAGCACACATACAGTGGGCTACCAAGAATATGAGAAAAATCTTCAACATTCCTAATCATCAAGGAAAAGTAAATCAACATTATAATAAGATTCTACTTCACTCCTGTACTAGTGGCGATCATCACAAATACTTAATGATAACTAATCCTGATGAGGATCTGGAGCAAGAGGAATGTTTGCACTTTGTTAGCAGGAATGTAACTTAGTATAGCTATTATGGAAAATACCATAAAAAGTTTCTAAAAAATAATACAGCAACTATACAACCCAGCAATTCTGCTGTAGGATACATATTTTGAGGTAATGAAATAACTATGTCAATGGGACACCGATAGCCCTGTATTTATAACACCATTAACTACAATAGCCAAGAAATACAGATAATTTAAGTGTCCATCAAATAATGAATGGATAAAAATAATATGATACATACATCCAGTGGAATGCTATTCATTCATAGACAAGAAGGAAATTATATCATTTGAAATAATATGGATAGAAGTGGAGATCATTTTGTTAAGTAACATAAGTCAAATACAGAAAGATTGATAGCACATGATCTCATTCATACGTGGAATATTAAAAAGATGATCTTCCATAAAAGTTAAGAGTATAATGTGTTTACCAGAGACTGGTGAGGGAGTTGGGGGAGGGATTGGAAGAGGTTAGTCAATGTGTACTACATTACAATTAGATAGGGACAAGAAGTTCTGATGTACTATTGCACAGTAAAATGGCTACAGATAAGTATAATAAACTATATCTATTAAAAAGCTAGCCTGTATAGTGGTGCATGCCTGCAATTCCAGCACTTGGGAGGCTGAGGCAGAAGGATTGCAATGAGTGGGAAGCCAGCATGGGCTACAGGGTGAGTTCAAGACCATTCTGAACTACAGAGAGAGAACTTGTCTCAAAAAAACCAAAGAAAATTAAATGAAATTAAATTTCAAAACTACAAGAAAGAATTTTGAGTGTTTTTGTCATAAAGAAATAATAACTGTTTGACAAGATAAATATATCTAGTACATACAAAATATCACAATATACCCCATGAACAGTATAAATTTCTGTTCTTAAGTATGTTATAAAATAAATTTAATGTAAAGTCTAAAAATTCATGTCTGACTTAGATACAATGTGTATTGAAGATCACTAAATCTCCAAGCATTATTACTTGTTCAACACACAAATTGGTTTTGAAATCTATTTTTTTTATTCTTGGAGTTGTTTTATCACTAATTTCAAATCATTATAGCTTAAAACTCTTAGCAAAAACAGTGAAAATCATATACTGAAAGACCTGCATAGACAGTACTAGCGTCCAGGATATAGTTGAATGTGGTCCTGGAAAGAGGCATGAAAGAAGCTAGTTTTCCAGAACTGCATATGTGGTGTCATCACGAATTGCTTTCATTTATTCTAAGTGGCCACTGCTCAGGCACACAGTTGCGCAACACTTCTCATCCAAAGCAAACCTTCAGTTCCTGATGAGTCCATATCAAGTCGCTTACCTACTTCTTGAGCAAAACACCCTATCTTGAGCTTTGCCTCTTTATGTCCTGGACACCAATGTATAAGCACACTCTGACATTTTGAAATGTCTTGTCACACTTACCTGTATAACTCCACTCTATAACAAGTTGACTGCAAATCACAAGGACTGATGATGTCACTGAGGAGCCGTTGTTTCCATATCTCTGTAGCAGTGGGCCAGAAAATTGTTGAGTATCTTGACCTGGAGATTCTCTCTCCCTATAGAATAAGGTTAAAATTTTAAATAAAATAGGAAAAGACTGAAGAGAAACAGAGTCACTAACTGAGACTGGTTTCCTTCAGAAAATAGTCTCATTAAAGTGGCTTGTAGTTTTCTCTAAACTGTCAACATTAGCAGTCGTCTGGAAATATATGCACCTCTGTGTTATGCTATATGCATCTATGTGAATAGCATACATGATGTATTGGATAATTTATGGGCTTGGGTGGCTATACTGGGCTTCCAGATGAGCCTAACTTCTAAAAAATATTTGAGAACGTGACACTTTTACAAAATCTTGATTCTCCTTTGGAATTAATAGCCAGGTGTATTTGGAGAACTGCTCTGCCTTATGGATCTACCATCACCACTCATATCTCCCAAGTTTAGAGCAACCAAGGCTGCTTTCTCCAATCTTCTGCCAACAAGCTTGACTCTTTATCTATTTCTTTAAATTACCCCTCTCCAAAATATTCCCTGGTTCCAACTAGAGTGTGGAGAAAGAATTGTACAGACACTAAATTTTTTTCTTTTCACTTAGTTGTTCAGTAATTTTAATCAAAGTATTTGAATTGCCTCACCCCCATCTCTTCAGACTTTGCCTACAAAAACTCAATTTTATAGATAAAAACTTTAGAAAAAAAAAAGCACAAGACAGTAAGGCTCCTTTTTTATTGTGCTTTATTCAAAACTAATCTCTCTTTATCCTGTGGAGATAAGCCCACTGATGTGATTATTACTAACTAGTTGTCTGCACAGGAAGCCAGAATAAATTTTAAATGATCCACTCTTACAATTGATTAGTATGGCTTTCTGCAGCGATTGTTATGGTCAATATCTAGTGACAAATATTTATTTAGGATTTCCCTTAAGAATAAAATAGTATTATCTACTATGAGCACATCACAAAGTACAAAATAAGCATATTTCCAGAGCTCAGTAATATTATAATCTTTTTAAAAAGAAATTCTCCAGTTCCAATAGAAAAAGAAAATAACTAGATTCTGTTTTGTTTTGCTATGTTTTGATTTTTTCAGACAGTTCTCAAATAATTACATAACACTGCTCTTCCCCCACACCCTTCCTCTTTTCTCCTAGAGGGAAGCTGCTTCATGCCACATAAAGGCAAAGGAGTTTCTTAGGCCTCTATGATGAGCTAAAGATGTTAGAACCTAAAAAAAATTTGAAAAAATATAAGTTCAAACAATCTTGTTGCAAATGAAGAGAGAATGTTTTTTGGGGGTTTTATTTACTCTTTCAGTTTCTTACACTAGGGAGACAATATGATGTTCACACATGCTGGTCTGATTTATTTCACTTGTAAGTATGGTCTTGAGTTGCATCCATTTAGCTATAAAAGCCCCGAGTTTATCTTCTTTATAGCTGACTAATACTCCATTGTATAAAAAATACTACATCTTTATTATTCAGTCCTCAGTTGATGGGCATTTGGATTGTTTCCAAGATTTCACTATGACAGTACTGTGAAAGGGATAGAAATGTCTCAAAGGAAAGGAACAACTGGGATGAGGGAAAGGAGAAAAGAAAGAAAGAAGGAAGGGAAAATATACATGTACATACACAGGATAGCTGGGATAATTATACTGCTGATTTCTGCTGGTCTATTCAAAGGAACAGTCAATGCTTACATTTTTTTCTTCTTTTTATTTTTTGACCAGTTTTGCATGTGTGTAACATTAATCTGAACAGCTAATTTGAAGACAACACTGTGCAGTATAACAACTATTGCTGAATTCCTATCATCTTGCTTAGTGAAATTCTGTATGATTTCTAATATTTTTAAATTATTTTTTATTCTCTTTAAAATAAAAAGAAAGACTATTTCTTGTTGATTGTTGGGTGTGTCTGGACATCAGTGGAGGCAGGAGAGCCTGTTGCTTCCTATGACATGGAAGAGTAAAACCAAACATGGAGAGATCATGAATGAGGTGAATTCATTCACAATCATCTCATGTATACTGCCAGCTCAGATCCAAATTGTCAAGAATGTCCTGATCCTATACTCTGAAATACAAGTGTACATAATACATGTAATCAAATAGTTTAACAACACCAATATTAAGTAAACTAAATAGTTCTGTTATTTAAGGCTATTAGAATTGCTTGAAATCTTCTGAATACTTTCTCATGGTCAATTTTTAATACTTTGGGAAGAATTTTAAAAGCAAGTGATTTCGTCAGTACATCAGATCATATTTTAAACTAGCTGAAAACCTGACACTTCATTTAGTGCTGCATGCCATTACACCTCTCTTCTTCTCTAACATACTTCACATGCGAATGAGTCGTTAACCTAGAAAGTCTCTTTAGGAATAAGGAGAACATGAATTGTTTTCTAGGCAATGCCAAGTGAAGCACCAAAGACCTACTCGTCTTTGTAAACATGTGAATTTACAACTGCTGTTGTATTCTAATATTGTAGAATCTGATCAAGTAGGAAATTAAATCTTAGAAAGAACAGCTTTTTAGTGTGTGTGTGTGTGTGTGTGTGCGCGCGCGCACGCACGTGTGCGCATGTGCATGCTAATGTTCAAACCAGGACTTCCTGTATGCAAAACCAATTTTGACTGAGCCATAACCCCTCCACTCAACATACCCAAAATCGAAATGCAGAACTTGCTATAAGAGCTTGTCCTTTGGTTTTCTCCTACCCACTTTAGTTCCCCTAAACTTTAGCCAAAATAGACTGTCCACAGTAAGCTAGAGCCTGCATCCTATTGCTCCTTGGCTATTACCACTCAAGGTGTTCTGTAAACTTGGAATTCCTGCATTCCTGTTTACAATTCATTCACTCAAGAAGTCAGGTCAGGATGCATTTGTTATTTGACTTGTGCCACTATCTGTACCTGTATAAATCTTATGCCCGCTTGAAGATCTAGGAGGTTCATTCATAACAATGTGGTTATTCTATGAAATCTTTCTTTCTCCTTCTGATGAGAAATATTTATTCATCCACCCATTTGCTCACTTGCTCTGTTAAGTATTATACTTAACATCCACTGTGTGCTCACTGAGAGTGATATAAAGATAAATGATATCTGTTCCCTCACCATTAGGAACGTGAAGCCTGAATGAAGCTCAGACTAATAAAATAGCAATTACCCTATAGTCATGGAGAGGGAAGGCAGAGGTGTGTGCAAAGTGTGCTTCAGATACCCAGTTTATGGAGTTAGCTAAGAAAGAATGAAGGTACTCTATGCAGAAAGGTGACGCATAGAGGACATTGCCTAATGAGGATGATGAAAACCAAGATTTCCTAAGAGCCCAGATTGCACAGGTACCTCAAGTCAGTAGCAGTGGTTTACATGAAAAGACTTTAATGAGTGTAAGACCATTGATGAGATTAAGATGTAGATTTTGAAAGCTTTTTTGAGAAATATATTAAAGATTTTACTTTATCTTCAAAGGTTTGAAGAAATATTGATAAAGACTATGCACATAGTTGCAAAATCAGAAATTGATTTTTGTTTTGTTTTGTTTTGTTTTTTTTCTGGTACCGGGAATTGAACTCACAACCTTGCGCTTGCCTGGCAGGTGCTGTGCTGCTGAGCTAAATCCCCAGCCCCCCAGAAATTGATTTTGAACAGCTCCAGCATCTATGAAAATAATTAAGCCAAAAATCTAAGAGACAGATATACTATCACCCTCCCTCTCAGTCTCATACATTTAATCCACCAACTCCTAGATTTCTTTATTAAATATACACAGGCTTCATATACTTCATTTTAATTCTCCTGCTACAGTCGTAAGTCAGAATCAATCAAGTTGTCATCAAGATTTTTCAATCACCTGCAAACTTTTCACCTCTAAATATAAATGTGATCATTTTGTGGTTCTGCTTAAAATATTTTATTGATATAATCCTGACTATGAGCAAAGAGGATCCTCCTAAGGACTTCATATGGATGAAATCCATAAGGCTTAGAGAAACTAATTATTCAAAGAACAAAGAAAAGTAGAGCAAAAAACATGTTGTAGGAGAAGATATTTACAGACCTACTATAGAATTAAAATAAAAACTAATGAAAGGTGCAAGTGCCAGACAGTTCGCAGCAGGAGCCAAAGAATAACAAGTAACATAAACAAGTCCCCAGGAATACAGCAAGATCCTGCTTGGAGGTATTTATGCTTCAGTAGTAAAAATGCCCAATATAAATAGAAAAATGGAATGCAAGTAATGAAAACATTTAGTGCGAAGTAGTGATGTGATCATCAGTGATTTCAGCTCAGTAGAAAGATAGAGACCAAACTCAGGCAACACTTTTAAGAGAGTTTTAGGAGAGTGCCTTAGGAACACCAGGCTCCATCCTATTCCACTTGGTAGAGGGTTGGCTTCTACTGAGGACCAGAGATCCAAGCATCACCAGTAGGCAGACCGAACAGCTCAGTGTTTTAGATGTGTGATGTTTGTGTCTAACAATGCCTCTAGAAGTGTTAGAACTTCATCTCCTTAGACATTGCATTGCTTGAACATAGAGTATAAAAATGTCATCTCAGAGCTCCACTAGTTACTGTTCTTCTAGAATAGACTATCCCTTATTTTATTAAACATAAATTCAGGTATTGAGATGTTACGGTTTGTTAGAATCCAAACAGGTAATCATGGAAGACCACATCATGACCTCGGATGCTACTAATAAGCTGTATTTCAGCCTCCCTCATGTTAATATACACATTACACTCAGATACATTATTTTCCAATTTTTGCTTTGTTCCTAACTCTAATCCTGCAATCTTTCATGACTATTTGCAGGTATTCCTGCCCTTGAGCTATCTATAAGGCAGTATATAGAAGTTTGTACAGTCCTAGAAAATCAGAAGTTTGCTATAGAGTCACCAGTCTGACAGACATTGCAGCAAAGACAAAGATATGACTGAAAATTATTCAGTCAGTATAGAAGAAAGAAACTAGACAAAAAAGCACATAGACTGACAAGAGGAAAATTTGAAAGTCAAATGAATCAAATGAGAAGTTTGG